CGCCGCAGGCCGGGGCCCGGGGCTCGGCTGCTCGGACTCCCTCCGCCTCCCGCGGCTGCTGCGGGGCGGCGCCGCCTCGGACTCGGGTGCGCGGAAGCAGCTTTGTGGGAAAGGAGCGCTGAGTTTATCCTGCGAGACGGAAGGAGGGAGAGGAGAAAGCTGCCTGAGCTGCATGGAGAGGGTGGGCTGTTGCAGGGCGCGCGAGATCTTGGAAGATGAAACGCTTTCAAATGTAATGCATGAGTCTAAAATCGTTTGGGACGGTTGTAAAACCGACTGGTGAAAATGGCTGTTTTCAGTAAATCCGCCTATCGTCAGGCTAAGAGGACTATAGTGTCAAGATTAAAGTCTTTCTGAGAATACATTCTTTATTTTTTTGTTGTTGTTTAACAGTAGGAACAGTTTGTTGAGAGAAAGAGAAGCTCAGAAAGTGGGTTGCCCGCATTATTCTTTAAAACCGTGTTCCAAGAAAGGACTTTGGCTTCCAAAAAGAAAAAAGCAAAGCCTTAGTGGATAAACTCTGACTCCTTGCTTTGTCAACAGGTCACCTGTAGCCTGGAGTTAGCATTGTGCTACAGATTCTGTAAAACCATAGAATAAACCAGGTGAATATTATGGAAAGTCATAACAGAACAGGTTTTGCATTCAAGTAAGCACGAATATGTTGTGGGGTAGAAGCCAAAATTTGTATCGTGTTGATTTCAAACAAGATTTTTTTTTTTTTGAACCTTGAAGTTTCTCCCTGGACAGTGCTTACAGGTTAGTGGCTTTCTGTCCAAAATCTGCCCTTGCATATTTAATTGGAAAAGTCTGAGGGCACGGGAGTCTAGCTAGCCTTATTTCGTTATGAACCTCAGCTAGAATGACTGGCATCAGATCCCAAGGTGTTTGCAGTATTAAGTCTGTTATGTCGCTATAAACTTACAAATGTTTTCTGTGCTAAACAAATACATTAAAATTTATTTCATTCACATTTAACAGGGTACCTATTCTTGTTTAAAAAAAAAAAAAAAAAAAAAGGGCAAACCAGAATTTTAAGCTTTGAGAAAACCTAGGAGTAACGAGGACATTTTTTTATTTAAATTACGTGAAATTTAACACTGAGAGCTCACAAATAAAACAGGTCTTGAGGAAAATGAGATCTGGCAACACTAGGCTAACATCACATGGCAGCTAGGTCAGTATGGGATCTTGTTTGCCATAGTTCCTCACTGCTTTTCATTGTATCATACTTGACTTAATTCCCATTACTTGTCTGTGTGGGATAGATAGATAGATAGATAGATAGATAGATAGATAGATAAATAGATAGATAGATAGTTTTTTAAGTGGTACTGGGGATTGTATCCAGCATCCTTGCACTGAGCTACATCCCTAGCTTTTTTTTTTTTTGGAGACAGGCTATCACTAACTTGCCCACGTGGCACTCAAACTTGACTTGTTATCTTCCTGCCTCAGCCTCCTAGGGTGCTCAGATTAAAGGCAGGAGCCACCACATTTAGTCTACCTCTCGTTTTTGTAATCAGGCTTCTTTTCAGTTGTTTTACACAGCCTCTTATATGTTAGTCAGCCTCGACTTCATTTTTAAAGGAATGAACTTTATATTCATTGCTTCTTGAGGTGAAAAAATTTTCAAAGAACAGATTAGTAAAAGATGTTGGAAAGTTATTCAGATGTCTAAATGCAAGAAATATCTAAGAATCCTTAGAAAATAATGCAGTATTAGTTTTGGTAAAAAGTACCGTACATGTTTTAGTTCTAATGAATGTAAAGCAGAAGAAAGTGCAGTTATGTAGGGTTTTACTAACATTTATTTTTGCGTTCTATATTAAATCGAGAAAAAATAAACAATATATAAAATATCTACAATTATTTAAAAATGTGGTCATGTTTTTAGTAGTATTGTGACCTGTTTAAGTTCTTCCTCAAATGTTATTTGTAAAACTTGGATATCAACTAGCCGTTTTCAGTTCCTCAGAAAGATGTACCCTAAATCATTACAGGGCTGAGCATGGTGGCACACACCTGTAATTCCAGCGTTCGAAAGGCTGAGGTAGGAGGATCACTGAGAGTTCAAGGCCGGCCTGGGCTACGTAGCTCAAAGCTAGCCTGAACTACATAGTGAGACCCTGTCTCAGGAAAAAAAAAAAAATTGGTACAACTCAACATTTTTATCATCTCAGAAGAAGTCCTTTTTATTAGCAGTGATTTCCCACGTTTTGCTCTTCCCTGGCTTCAGGCAACCACTAATGAACTTTTTTATTTGAATTTTCCTACCTTAGAAAATTCAAGGGGACCCCGAGATATAGCTCAGTGGCACAAGTGCCTGCCTGGCAAGTGCAAGGTCCTGAGTTAAATTCCCAGCACCAAAAAAAAAAAAAATTTCATACAAATGGAATCATGCCATATGTGGCCTTTTTTGTTTTGGTTTGGATTTAGACAGTGTATTGGAGAGTTCTTCAGTCATGTGGGAATTACATATAATCTGTTGACAATAAGATGTTTTCTAGGCTGTGTCATTCTATATTCCATTAGCAAATTAGGTTTTAATTTCTCTAAAGCTTCACCAACACTTACATTGTCTTGAATGTGTGAAGTACTACTTCATTGTTTTGTAGTTCTGTGGATCCTGTGCAGGGCCTTGCTAGCACTCTACACTGAGTTATACCCAAGCCCCTCATTGTAATTTTGATTTGCATATGTGACATATTTGTTTATTGACTGTTTGGTGTCTTCTTTGGAGAAATAACTTTATATGTATTTATTGGCTGCTCGGTACCTTCTTTGGAAGGAATAACTTCAGATTTTTTGCCCATTGCTTTGGAGAAATGTTTGTTCAAATCCTTTCTCCTGTTTTTTTAGTTGAGATAGAGTTGTGTTATTTTGCAGATATTTTCTTTTTTCCATGTGTTACCATATTATTTTCTTTGTGATGCCTTTTCAACACGAGTTTCACATTTTTATGAAGTCCAGTCCTTTTTCTTTTTGTCTCTTGTTCCTTTGTTATCTGTTCTAATACCAATTCTCTGACACTTGAGTGTCCTACGTTCAGTTTAATTTTGCAGCTACCTGGAGTTTACGTCAGATCTCACAAGTTAAAAGACAAAGTTCTCAATAAGATTTACTTTAATTGAGATACCAGTTACAAGTGGAGTCCATAAGCTACTCACACTTCTAACCTACTGACTTCAAATTCAGGGCTTCCTACAACCCACTCAAGGTTAATAATTCCCACCATGCTCAGCCCTGACTAGAATGACTTACGTAATTTACTAGAAACTGTACTTAGGATTACGGTTATATAAGATACAACTTAGGGATGGCAAAATAAAAGAGACACATAAGGCAAGGCGGGAACTGGGGCAAGAGTAGGATTGCCCTCCCTGTGGAATCAAGTGTGTTGCACCCTGGAAAATACCATCACAGAAGTTACGGAAAGCCAGCCGGTTTCTGGTGAACAAATACTGAAAGGGTGTGTTCTGTGGTTGTCATTATTGTGTCTGTTGATAAAGCTACAATTCATTTCTTATGTCAAAAGACAAAATTACAACAAATTTAATTGTTTTAGTTGGGATTCTAGATCCGGCAACAACTTACTATACAATTACGAGAATGAATGAGTTTTGTAGGTGGGAAGGAAAAAACAGTGAGAAAAAAACTGATTGGTTAACATCAGGTTACTTTTTTTGTAAAGACCAAAGGAGAGGTCTCCCTTGCTGACTTGGGTGGATTCAATTATCTATTTTCAGGAAAAAATAGTCTGTTTTAGGATCTGTCTGCTCGCTAAACTTTCAGGTAGACTACCAGGCATTTAGTATGAGTGACTGCATTTTGTTTGAACTGGTATCTCAATATTATAGGAGTTTAGAAGAAGACAGTGGCCTCCCTATTTTAATGTAAATTTACAGTAAAGATTACAAGGTTTGCCAGGCATGGCGGCACACACCTGTAATCCCAGTACTAGGGAGGCTGAGGCAGGAGGATCATTGTGAGTTGGAGACCAGCCTGGGCTACAAACTGAGCTGAAGGCCAGCCTGAACTGCATAGCGGGACACTGTGTCAAAAAGACAAAAAAAGAGAGAGTTCAAGGTTTATGTTTATGGATTATCTCTTTTAACCATCATTCTTAGATTAAAAGTTAATCTTGCTGCTTATTCTACAAAAGGTATGTACTTGAATACCTCACAGATATCAGAAAAACTCATAGAGTATTAGTCTCTGATGACATTTTCACGCAGTTCTCTGCACAATTTTGTAACTTTTTTCCTTGATTGTATTTTTATTACCTTCATATAGTATATTTATTATTTTATTCTGACTACAGAATTTCTTAACAGCTTGTTTGTGTTTTCATCACACGTTAAGACTTTATTTGCAAAATAAGTTACAAGAAAAAAAAAGTTGTGCATAATTCTTAACCAAATGGTTCAAGAAATCTGTTTTAATGCTGTGTGGTTGTCCTTCAGTTATGTATTAGTCATTACTTAAATGTGTTCTGGGTGCAGAAGAGAGATAATTAAATAATAAGGGCTAGTTCCTGCTGTCAAGGATACCACTGATGTAGCAGGCATGCTCATAACTAATACAAAGAAAAGAAATGATGGGCTTCATATTTTGAGCTTGAAATTGGGACTTCTAAATACAAACACTTGAGTGTTAGGTGGGTAGGAAACAGGCATAGTAGAATAAATGAATGTTAAATGTCATTTTAGTGTTAGTCATTTAATAAAAAGAACAAGCCCTAGTAGACAGGTTGCAGTGTTTTTGTGAAAGCTAGAGAGAATCTAGCAATGTCAAATATATTGTAAAGGTCAAAATAAGTTAAAAGTTTGTATTAGAATTGTCAGTTAAGATATCAGTCTTTGAAAAGGCTGTTAGTCTCTCAGAAGTTTTTTTCTTTTTTTCATGAAAGGCAATGGAGAAGGCAAACTGAAAAGGGAGAAAGAATAAGTGTAAGAAGCATTCACCGCACCTGGTGTCAGCCTACAGTAACTATATCAGTCCCTAATGACAAAATCCTTACCTCTCTGATACCACCTGAAACCTGTCCCTGCACTAGGATAAGTAAAACTGTATCAGTTGTATTTGCAATATTGATACTAAGTTTCCAACTCAGTCCAAGTTGCTGTGCCCCTTCAGTCGCATTCAGAATTAAGGCTGTCCATTCTCATCCACATATCCCCACACTGTTGTGTTCCCCTCTCCAGTCTTTCATTGCTATCCTAGCTAGCAACCTTCCCTAAATAATACTTTTGCCAACAATGGACCAGTTTCAGCCTGGAGACTGTAAGCTCTTTCTGTACTGCTTCTTTCAGGGGTCTTACTCTCTCAGTTATCCCCTTTCTCTAATGTCTCTTCAGATGTCCAGATTGAATCTTTCAACATCAATGTTGGTGTTCTACTGAAAAATGTGAAAGGTTTTCTTCTAGGTTCCAACTCCTCTGTTCCTTGTCTCTTACATTCCTTAACTGTGCTGCTATAGAAGAGTGGCCTTGCCTATGCAGTCTCTTCTCACAGCCTGCTTCTGGTGTCACTGAAATCAGCCTTCTTCGTTGCAGGAGTTGTTTGTTTTCATTGGTTTGGTTTGGTTTTGAAACAGGGTCGTATTATGTAGTCCAGGCCAGGCTTGACTTCACTATGTAGCTGGTCTTGAAGTCTTCCCGCCTCAGCCTCAAAGTCACTAAGATTACAGGCATGCACAACCACATCCCTCACAGCCTGCTTCTTTTACCACTCCAGTGCAATTGGATTTTCTAGTCAGTACTATTTGTTAAGCCCAGTGGTCATTTCCCATCCTTTGTTTACTTGATCTCAGAGCATTTGTCGTTACCAGCCATTTACTCCTTGAAATACGCTTCCTTTTAATCCACAATCCCACTCTCTGCTGGTTTTAACTCTGTGCTGCTCCTTAACTGTCTTTTAAAGGAGCCTTTTTTTCTTATCTCTGAATTGTTAATATTCACCAGGATTCCATTCTTTATCCTTACCCCCCAACTTGTAAGCATGTATCGCTTCAAAGCAAAATTTCTTTGTCCATATATTCCTCTTTACCTTGTCTGTCAGCAGTCTTTACAGCTGTATCAGTATATTTAATAGTTCTTTTCTGGAACATAAATCACAAAGCAGGAACTCAGAAACCTCTCTGGAATGCCTTTCAGTTTTTCAGTTTGCCTTTTCTGCATACATCTTTCTGGATTATTGAGTTGGCACTATTCTATTCACTCCACTCATAGCACTTTTCTAGTGTAGCACTTAGTTACAGTCAATTCATTTTGCATTTCTGCTTTCAAAAATGAATATGCTTTCTCTGAGGTCAGGAATTTATTTTTTTATTTATTTAATGGAACAGAAACCTTCATGTCCTTACACAGATGTTGGGTGAAGTTTTTTGGTTGGTTTTGTTGTTTGATTTGCCATGAGCAGAAGGCTTTTGTACAGTAATGATATAAGATGGATAGTAAGCATAGTTGTACACTGGTAAAGTACTGATTATTATGGTTCTCTCTCAGGATAAAAAAAGGATTGTTGCGAGAAAGTTAGTTCTAATACCTGTAGAGACGATAGGAGGAGGAAAGTGGAGGTTGGGACAGATGACATAACCTATGAATGAGCGAACACAGTTATTAAGATAATCAGGATGCTGTCAATTACAGGTAACAGAAAACTTAAAAATTAAACAATGAAGTAATATTTATGACATAATAGGACAGCAGTGGCAAACTTTTTAGAGCTTTCGGTGGTAATGAACAGACCCCTGCAGCATGTGTGCTGTATGATTCCTGCCACTATAATAGGATATTTGTAAGTAGAGCAGTTCCAAGTAGCTCAGTAATACCAAGGACTCAGATTCTGTTTTTCTGCTCTACTATCCTTATATATAGCATTGATACGTCCTCATGAACTGATTACATTTGTGAAGATACAACTCCTCAGATACTACAAATTGAATTGAAAATAAGTCAGAGCAAAAAAGAGAAATATCCCTTTTGAAAAGCCTAAGCCTCATTTTAAGAAAGAGGAAAACCTCAAAAGTATTCCAAGCGAACTAGCAATGGGGCAGACTTGTGATGTGCAGTCATGTGACATGGAGAATGCCAGCACCATGACTGGGGCTGGATCCAGCAGGAACAGAATCACCTGGGAGCTTTTGATGGGCATACATGCTTAAGACTCATTCCAGATTTAGTTTATGAAACTGAGGGCCAAGAACCCATGGATCTGTGTTTTAACTACCACTTTATATAATTTTGATGCTCATAGAACTCGAGAACCACTGGTTTAGTGCCATTAGGAGCCATCTCTCGGGATTAGAGAAAAGCCTAAAAACCTCTAAAAGATTGAAGGTCAGGATAAGGAAACCAGAGAAAGTAGAGGAATATTGTCAGATAGACAACCAAAAATGCCTGCACATGTCTTCAAGGATGAACATTTTTCTTCATGCCAGCTGCTGTGGCTCCCCTGCTTTTTCCTTTGTTCATCTCTATCTGGGACACAAGACCTCATGCTGACCTACTCAGTCAGTCTCAGAAGCAGTTACTGAACCTCACAAATGTGACTCCTTCGTTGTTACTTCTGATTGTCATACCTTTGTGCCTGTAGTCTAGTTTATTTGCTTTGAAGTATTTTGAGTTTCCCTAGATTATACAAATATAAATACATACAAAGCAAAAGCATTTCTAAAATTCAAGTTAGGTGTTTCTAGTACTCATTTCTGGATGGTCACGTGTGGTTTTTGTTTTGTTTTTCATTTCTTTTTTGGCTTTTTCTAATTTTTCTTAAGGACATTTATTTTGATTTTATACTGAGTAAAGCTTATTGAGCTTAAAAGATACTTTTAAATTTAAAAGGTAATAGATTTCAGTAAGCACAGATTAATATTTTCTGTAATAATTTTATTGTGTCCATCTAATTGTAATAACATTTTGCTTTTTTGGTAGGCTTCCTAAAAGACAGGAAAAATGGAGGACTCTGTAAACCAATTGCAGCCACTGAATGAAAAGCAAATAGCCAATTCTGAAGGTGGATATGTATGGCAAGTCACTGACATGAATCGACTGCACCGGTTCTTATGTTTTGGTTCTGAAGGGGGTACTTACTATATCAAAGAACAGAAGCTGGGCCTCGAAAATGCTGAAGCTTTAATTAGATTGATTGAAGATGGCAGAGGCTACGAAGTGATACAGGAAATAAAGTCATTTAGTCAAGAAGGCAGAACCGCAAAGCAAGAGCCTTTGCTCTTTGCACTTGCCATTTGTTCCCAGTGTTCTGACACAAGCACAAAACAAGCAGCATTTAAAGCTGTTTCTGAAGTTTGTCGCATTCCTACCCATCTCTTTACTTTTATTCAGTTTAAGAAAGACCTGAAGGAAAGCATGAAATGTGGTATGTGGGGTCGTGCTCTCCGGAAGGCTGTCGCAGATTGGTACAATGAAAAGGGTGGCATGGCCCTTGCTCTAGCAGTTACAAAATACAAACAAAGAAATGGCTGGTCTCACAAAGACCTGTTAAGACTGTCACATCTTAAACCTTCCAGTGAAGGTAAGCATAAATTCTTGGCGGGGAGTGGGGGTGTGTGTGTAACAGGAATAGCCAATAAAAAACAAACGTTCATTTGACATTATATAATTTTCTGGAATTATCCCTTAATTCTCAAGACATACATTAACTGAGCAGTTCAAATGTTTACGGTCAACCTGGAACTAATCATTTACCACAAGCAACCCGGGCATTAAGATTAAAGAATTTACAGATTAATATTTACAGATTTACAGGTTAATATTCTAAATCTTTAATAATACCATGCTAAGTAGAACCAAGTGACAGTGGGTTATGAATGCTACATGAACAAAATTAAAGTTAAAGAAAGCTGCTTGTGAATAGGTGACAGAATGAGGCTGTACTGCTACTCAGAATGAAAAGAATTTTAAACAGACTCTAAGCAACCAGTAATTAAAATATTAATGTCTTAACTGAAATGATGTATTCATAACAGACAAATCAGTCAAAGTGTAATTTAATGAGATATTTATTGTGTACCTGTGTATCTGCACAATGAGGGAACTGGGTAGGGTACAGCTGCTTTAAGGAATGTTTCTTTTCTTTGGAAAAACAACATAGACATGCTCACATGAAACATTTAGGTATTTAAGACATTTTTATACCAAACTCTGGACGATAACAAGTCATGATACTTTTGAAGTTCCTAGTATTAACTTACTTTCTCTGTTTTTTGGGATGGGGTCTCACCGTGTACTCCAGGGTGGCCTTGAACTTGTGGCAGTGCTCCTGCCTCAGCCTCCTGAGTGCTGGGATTACAGGTGTGCACCATCACACTCAACTTGTTAGTAATAACTTTAGATCAAATTATTTAGAGTTCAAAAATAGCGCATTTTCTCAGACAGGCTTAGATACTGTGTATCATTTGTCCTATAAAATAGTCTAGAGAAAAAATTGTAGTTAAAAAATCAGAAGACTTCAAATAAACATTGATATTTTGACTTTCTTTTCACAACACTAAGTCAGTACTTGTTTCACATACCCAATGCATGTTCCTTTTAGTTCACTACAGTCCTGATAACTGAGAATACTCCTTCCTGTTCATTTCACCTGCCTTGCCCTCAGAGATTTGAATTTGAGAATTTAATCCTTACCTTTAATAGACATGGAGAATAAGATTTAAAAAGATAACATTTTCTCGAAGAGTAGGTTAGAACCTAGATTTTCTCAGCCTCCAAAGCCCTCTCTATGATAAGAAAGTATAGATGGAATGAACAATTTTCCCCCTTTAAAAAAATGATGGTATAATAATCTGTCTCTAAAAACATAAAAGAACCTACCTACCTCTCCACTTTTAATCTCTGTTGCTCATAAACCCATACTTATTCAGATACACAGAAAGACAAGTGAAGGTGATACTGAGATAGATCTGTGCTCTCAGGAATTGCTCTGAGATTGGAAACTGAACTGGGCACTGACATGTTGAGGGGGAAAGCCTCTAATGCAATTAAATAGTTACGTAAGATAGAGAACTTTTTCCCCTCAGTTTTGTATTTAAACAGTAATGACAGAATAAGCAAAATTAATGGGCTGTGTTTTCTAAATGTGTTTGTTACAATGTAGAAAACAGTATCCCCCTTTAAGGGAGTTAACTTCTGTGTATATAGCTAAGTCTATCATAGAACGTAGTCTCAGGAAATGTGTTCTATTTTTTACTTGATAATCCTACCTGCCTTTTCAATTCTTTATCTTATCAAAGGACTCGCCATTGTGACCAAATATATTACAAAGGGCTGGAAAGAGGTCCATGAATTGTATAAAGAAAAAGCACTTCCTGTGGAGACTGAAAAATTACTAAAATATCTGGAGGCAGTAGAAAAAGTGAAGCGTACAAAAGATGAACTGGAAGTCATTCATCTAATAGAAGAACATAGATTAGTTAGGGAGCATCTTCTCACAAATCACTTGAAGTCTAAAGAGGTGAGTAAATTTATTTCAAAAAGAGAAATTACGACTAGCCACAGTGGCACACACCTGTAATCGCAGCACTCAGGATGCTGAGGCAGGAGGATCGAAGCAAGTTTGAGTCGACCCTGGGTTACATAGTGAGTTGAAGGCCACCCTGCACTACAAAGCACTACAAAGCAACTCTGTCTCCAAAAAAAAAAAAAAAAAAAAAAAAGAAATGACATGTGCAAGGTCCTACGTTCCATTTCTAGCACTGAAAAAAAAAAAAAAAACTTCAGTGTTTACCTAAAACCTCTTAACATGAGATCCAGTGTGATTGACATTTTGTGTTACTTGAACTTCAGAGAATTTGCTGTCTCACTAATTTTTTAAAATCTGCATTTCCTTCATAAATTGTACTTCACTTCCTTATTCTAGTAAAGAATGTTAGCTGATTTCATAAACCTTTGATCAAATATGACATTTTCATGGTGAAAGTACTTTTAAGTCTCAAAGCCTTAGAGTATGTTATTAATATTATTATTGATATAGCTATGTTATAGTTAATTATTTCCCCTTCTTTGTATGTCTACCTATGTATTCACTTTAATTCATTATATTACTTCCTATAGGTGTGGAGGGCTTTATTACAAGAAATGCCTCTTACTGCATTACTAAGGAATCTAGGAAAAATGACTGCTAATTCAGTACTTGAACCAGGAAATTCAGAAGTATCTTTAGTATGTGAAAAACTGTGTAATGAAAAACTGTTGAAAAAGGTAAGCATTATTGATAGCCTCTGTTACCTAAGTGAAAAAGTTGGCTCCTAAATTTTGCAGATGAAATCAGTGTGGTTTTAAGGTGTTCTGAGATGTATATTATACCAAATTCTTACTTAAATCTAAGCTTAATACAGCATTTTTCTCTTATTTATAAAATACACCTTCTAACTACACTAGCATAAATATCTAAGGAAGACACACAATTTCAAGTTTTTGCTTGAATTTTGCATTTATTTTTCTTGATCCTAGGCTCGTATACATCCATTTCATGTCCTAATTGCGTTAGAAACTTACAGAATAGGTCATGGACTCAGAGGAAAGCTGAAGTGGTGCCCTTGTGAAGAAATCTTGAAAGCACTGGATGCTGCTTTTTATAAAACATTTAAGGTAATGTGGTTTTCTTTCACTTGATTTTTTTTTTTAATTACAGCTTAGAATCCTTTGTAAAGACACATTTTAAAAGGTAGTATTAATATTATAACCATTTATGAGTACACATCTGCTTTCTCAATTTATGTGAAGGTGGATATATAGTTAATATTCGTGGGTTTATGTGGAAAGTATTTCTCCTTACCTTTGGGCAGCAGTTCTAAGATCATTTGATAATTTTAATCATTTTGGTGATTTACTAAATTTGGGATTATTAATTTTTTTCAAATTTGCATTGTTGTGTAGATCCTTGACTTGGCCTTCTGTGTTTTGTTGTTTCCATTAAGTGGTATATATGTCTCATCAGTCTTAATAGGAAGTGAGTTATTTAGACTAGAAATCCCGTATCAGAGCCATATATAAACTTTTCTTGAATGCAATAGGATAACATCCAGATACAGCAGCAAGTTAAAAGAATTATACACCATCACTAAATGATATCTATTTCTGACATGAAAGGACATGTTAACATATTAAAATTGTTCAGCATAATACAGGACATTACATTAGAAGAATTAAGGAATAGAACCATTTGATTATCTAAATTGATACACAGAAATATTTGATGGAATTCAAGACCCTTTCATCATTAAAAAAAAAAGCAGTTAATAAACTAGAAACAGAAGTGAACTTTTCCTCTGCTTAATAAAAGCCATAGATTTTTTTTTTTTTAAACCATACTTAATGTACTAACATATTCTCTTTGGTGAAAGAGTGGAAGTTTTTTGCTGATGATCAGGAATAAGCCAAGAATGTCTCACTTTTGCCAATTCTACGTAGTACTGGAAGTTTTATCAACTGGTGAAGAGAAATAATTCTAAAAGACAGTATCGGAAAGAAAGAAGTAAAATTATCACTAACCTCAGTTGTATGATCTTACATAGATCCTAAAATCCTCAAGGGTACACACATATACACACAATTAGCAAGTTAATCAAATTCAACAAAATTACAGGATATAAAGGCAACAAATAAAATTCACTTATATATCTATACACCAGTGAACAATTTGAAAAGGAAATTAAGACAGTATTTCCATTGATAATAGTTATCTAATAGAATTAATGGAGTGAGGCATTTTAGCACGTGCCTGTAATCCCAGTACTCTGGGAAGATGAAGTAGAAGGATCACAAGTTCAGCCCTCACTTGGGCAATAAATCAACTTAGCAAGACCTTGTCTCAAAAGTTTTGAAAAAAAAAAAATGTCAGGTGTGGTGGTGGCACACGTCTGTAATCCCAGCACTGGGGAGGCTGAGGCAAGAGGAACACTGTGAGTTCAAGGCCAGCCTCAGCTACATAGTAAATTGAAGGCCAGCCTGAATTACATAGCAAGACCCTGTTTCCAATAAAAAAAAAAAAAAAAATTAAAAGAACAAATGGTTGGGGATATAGCTCAATGCATAGATTTTGGTTTGAATCTCCAGTTCCACAGAAAAAGGAAAGAAAAGCAGGAGGGGAGGGTTATCTACAGAGATGCAAGTATTGCATCATTGAAAACTACAAAACCTTACTGTAAGATAAGATAATGGGAAAATATCCATTTTCCTGGTTTGGAAGACTTGTTAAGATGATAGTAGTATCCAAAGCAATCTACAGATTCAGCACAATTCCTTTCAAAGTTCCAAAGTTTTGCAGAAATAAAAATTCTAAAATTCATGTCAACTTGACCCCTAATTGCCAAAACAGTCTCGAAAAGAACAGAGTTGAAAGACTCACTTCGGGATTTCAAAACTTACTACAAAGCTGCAGTAATCAAAACACCATGTTACTAGCCTAAAGACAGACATATGTGGATCAAAGAAATAGAATGGAAAATCTGTGCCAATCTGATCAGTTGATTTTTGAGAAGAGTTCCAAGGTGATTCAATGAAGAAAGGACAGTATCACAAATGATGCCGGAAAAACTGCATTTTCTTGTGTAGGCGAATGAAGTTGGACCTTACCTTATATACAAAAGTTAGTTCAGAATGTATCACTGACCTACATTTAAGAACTAAAACTATATAAGCACCAAAAGCATAGTTAACATGATAAAAAATAGATAATTGAACTTCAGAGTTAAAAACATACAGGCATCAGCCAGGCATCCTGGTGTATACCTGTTTTTCCAGCACTCTGAGAGGTAAAGCAAGAAGAGTGTAAGTTTGAGCCCAGTCTGGGCAACTTAGCAACTTAGTAGACCTTGTCTCAAAATAAAATATTTTAAAAATGGGCCAGGATGTAACTCAGTGCTGAGGCTGTGGGGTTCCATACCAAGTACCGAAAAAAAAAAAACCTTAGATATATCAAAAAGCTCACAAGAAAGAGTGTGAGGTTTAGTGCTATGCACCACTTGCCTAATCTGTGCAAGGCCCTGGGTTTGATTTCTAGCATGGCCAAACAAACAAAGAAAATGACACTTTAGTAATAGTGATACTGCAAAAAGAAAAGAGAAAAAATAATCTACACAGTAGCAGAAAATACTTGCACCTCAGGTATAACATCAAGAATATATATTAAGAACCCCTACAGTTCAGAGCCAGGTGTGGTGGCCCACCCCTGTAATCCCCGCACTTGGGAGGCTGAGGCAAAAGGATCGTTGTGAGTTCGAGGTCAGCCTGGGGTACATAAGTGAGCTCAAGGCCAGCCTGAATTGCATACGGAGACCTTGTCTCAAAAAGACAAAAAAAAAAAACAAAACTCGTACATTCAATAGTGTAAATACAAACAATCCAGTTGAAAGTGGACAGAGCATTTGAATGGACATTTTCCCAGAGATGTTAATGAATATTTTCCCAGAGATGTATAAATTGAACAGTAAGCTCATGAAAAGTTGTTCATCACTAGTCACCAAGGAAATACAGATCAAAACTACAATGAGATACCACTTAATACCTAATTAGATGACAGTTACCAGAAAAGCAGAAAATAACAAATATTAAGGACAGAGAAATTGGCACCCTGAAGTATTACAAGTAAGAATATAAAATGTTACAACCCTTATGGAAAACAGGTTTATTACAAAGTTAGACATAGAATTATCATACCATCCAGCAACTTGTATGTATGTGCCAAAAGAATTGAAAACAGATACCCAATACTTACATATCAGTATTCATATCAGCATTATTCACAGTAGGCAAAATATAGAAACAACAAAAGTCATCATCAAAAGATGAATAAATTTGTGATATACACAAAGAATGGAATACTATATATTTAGTCTTAGAAAGGTATGAAAGCTGGTACATGCTACAACATGAATAAATGTTGAAAATATCATGCTAAGCCCAGGCATGAAGAGACAAGTATTCTATGATTGTATTATGTGAACTGTCTAGAGTAGGCAAATTTATAGAGGCAGAAAGTATTACAGAAGTAGGCAGGAAGTTAAGTGAATGTTGGACTAAGGAGTTACTAATTTGTACAAAGATTCTATTGAGGATGAAAAAGTTGTGGAAAAAGAGATAATGGTTATACAATGTTGTAAACGCACTTACTGCAACTGAATCATATTCTTAAAGTTGTTACAAAAGTAAATTTTATATTATTTATATTTTACCACATTTTTTTTATAAGTTATTCAAATTTCCAGTTTACTTCAGTGAGGAAAGATTTTTTAAAAATAGAATGGTGAGGTCTTTACATAGAATTATTAAATACATTTTTTTCCTTTGTTCATTTGTACTAAGAGCTAAGCATTTTTAAATAGTTGTCAGTTGATGTATCAAAAGTCAGCCCTTTTTCTTTGATTTCTGTTAAACATTTAGTCTACCTTTAATTTCTGTGACTGCTTTTAATGTTTTGTTTTCTCTTTAGACAGTTGAGCCAACTGGAAAACGCTTCTTGCTGGCTGTCGATGTGAGTGCTTCGATGAACCAAAGAGTTTTGGGTAGTATACTCAATGCTAGCACAGTTGCTGCAGCAATGTGCATGGTAAGAACACCTAGAACAATTCAACCTTTTTCACCCCTTGAGGAAAATATTTCCGAGCCAGGCACATGCCTGTGATTGCAGCACTGATGAGGCTGAGGCCGAAAGATCAAAAATTTGAAGCCAGGTTGGACTAGCAACCTGTCTCAAAAAAAAAACTGTGTCTCAAAAAAAAAATTCTTTTTAAATGTTTGCTATGGGTAAAACTATAAAATTAGTAAAATCAAGAATTATGTTTTCACTTACTTTGTCATTTCAGCTCATGGAACACATTTTTTTTTATCATTTTTAATGTAAAGATCATTTTGTACTGTGTTGATAGAACACACCTATAATCCAAGCCACTTAGGAGCCTGAGGCTGGTAGATCACAAGTTCATCTCCTTCCTTTATGGGCAACTTAGCAACACCCTGGCTCAAAAAGCACAAGAAAACTAAAGGCATGATAAAGCAGTTAAAAGGTCAGAGAACTGTAATAGTCAGGAAACTTTAGTTCTAGCCTCACTGAATAGCAAACATGAGGTAAGCTTAAATTTTTTTTCATAACTATGGCTTTCCTGTAGCTTAACAAAATGAGAATATATCCCTTATCTTCTTCAAAGGATTGTTTGAAAACCAGTTTCTTTTTAAGAGTATGTGAAAAGTACACTACTTTGAAAGCTGTATTAATTGTATACTTTAGAACACAGTAGTACAAGTTTAGAACTAAGCATCATGTTGTTTCTCTTAAAAATGAAGTAGTGTCAACTTCAAGATACTGTATTTCCCCCAAATCTGCTGAAAATTACCACCATTGAATTTTTCAGGTCGTCACACGAACGGAAAAAGATTCTTTTGTAGTTGCTTTTTCAGATGAAATGGTACCATGTCCTGTGACTAAAGAGATGACTTTACAACAAGTTTTAATGGCTATGAATCAGGTAATAAACTTTTTTTATTAAGTTTACTTAACATGTAAAATAATGTTATATGAATAGTATGCATGGTGTTAATAGTATGTAATATTAATAGCAGCCATTAAATTTCTTAAAAGAAATTTATCTTTTCCTGTGAGAAGCACAAAATCAAAAAGAGAATAGTTTTAAAAGTAGCATAGTCTTACTAGAGAAGGCCTATGTACTGACTCTAAATAGTATTGTAAAAATAATAGTATTTGAAGTGTTTATTTGAGACATTGCATTGTGGACATGAGGGCAACTTATTCTCATGCACGTTTTTGTTGAGTTTAGATCCCAGCCGGTGGAACTGATTGCTCTCTTCCAATGATCTGGGCTCAAAAGACGAACACAGCTGCTGATGTCTTTATTGTATTCACTGATAACGAGACTTTTGCAGGAAATGTCCATCCTTCTGTTGCTTTGAGGGAGTACAGAAAGGTAAAACAAATTCTGCTATTCTCACCCAAATAATGCTCCACTGTTTCTTCTAAAATGACACTAAAGTTACTTCTGTACCTTTTTATAGGAATCCAATGTCAGTTATGAACTCAGAAGTACTCAAAGAAAAGTAGTGGCTACTAGTAAACATTACTAACAATATCTCCTGCAAAGAGTATTCTTAGTAATTATCAAAATACTTATTTTACCTTAATTATAAATTTTTTAATGATTCACTGTGCTCTTTGAAAAATTAAAATCATTTGTGGATTTTGCCAATGAACTACATAAAATTAAAGCTTTAATTATGTTCTAAGTTCTGTGGTGAAACGAGGAGGTAAATCAGTGTCCCCTGACTGAGCTTCCTGAAATGACATAAATATTCTATAACTGCACTCTCTAATAACGGTAGGTAGCCACTGCTCACATGAGCCTAATAGCACTTCACATGTGGCTAACGTGAATAGGAGTAGAAATAGAACTTGCTAATGAAGAACAGTGGTTTTCAAAAAGTGTGGTTTTCCTACCAGCAGCCTTAGAGTCACTTGGGACCTTGTTAGAAATGCAGATTCTAGGCCCCATCAACCATTTGCTGAATCGTTAACTCGGATAGTGGAACTGTGTTTTAACAAGTTCTCCAGGGGATTCTGATACATCTTTAAATTTTAGAGCCACAGGTGACAGAGTAGCATCCGGACTAAAGACAGCCTGGAGTCTGAGTCCTGGATCTTTTTCTCTGTGGACCTATTAGCTGGCACAGTAGGTAATAGTACTTAGCTTTATGGTTGGGATAACAATTAAATTAGATACATTATTTAAAGAGTTCACTGTAGTATCTGACAATAATGTATATTCAGGGATTATTGTTTTTTCTCAAAAACTCTAATTATATTAACTTTACATGTAACTATAGAGAACAAGTTCTTACATGGGATATCTGTATATTGAACATATGAAAGTTATAAACCAAATGTTCATAACCCCAGAGAAATATTCCCTTATATTTATATATACTCACACATACTGCTACAGCATTTGCCATATTGATGAAAGTGTCTGTCACCCCTGAATATCACAATAATTTTCATAATTTACAAAGCCCCATACTATTTTAAATGTACTCTGGACCCCATAAAACAGGTAAATATATAGAACAAAGAAATTTTAGGTAGGATTTTCACACAATTTCATTTTGCAATCTTTCGCTTTTAAAGCTCATATTGTCTGAGCCTAAAGGATAAACCCAAAAAACAAAAAAATTTACTTTGTAAGTAAAAAACTGGTGAAATTTTAAAGTATTATAATTTTGGAGGTTTTTTGCTTCTCGTTCAATATAATTTTTATGTGTATTTATTATATTTTATGTGGTTTTTTTCCCCTACAGAAAGTGGATATTCCAGCTAAATTGATTGTTTGTGGAATGACATCAAATGGTTTTACTATTGCAGACCCAGATGATAGAGGCATGTTGGATATGTGTGGCTTTGATACTGGAGCTCTGGATGTAATTCGAAATTTCACATTAGATATGATTTAACCATAAGTATCAGCATGATCTAGAAGAGGTCAGTTGCCACCAGTGATCTCACTAAAATACACAGCTACTTCCCACCTAATCTCAATCCAGTGAAAGATGATGGTACAGTGTGTACATAATGGAAGTTACTTTATGAAAAAAGATGGAAAAGAAGGAAGAAAAATAAGATGAACCCAAAGTTCTAGCCACGAATCTAGCTTTTGGGAGGTGACTTCAAGATACTATAGCTTCCTCTATCTTAATAGAGAACTTCATTTTAGTACACTGTACGACAGTTCACTCTAGTGAACAATACATTTGTACTTGAGGTGAGATTCAAAAGTGTGAGTAGGTCCGTATCATGTTACTTGTTGGAGAAGTACTTAATGTTTTTTTAAATGTTTTCATTGGAAAAGGACAGCTTTGATAATATCCAAATACTCTGAAATGCACTAGACCATGTAACTGTGATGGAATATGAAATTCATCTGTAAGCTTTTGTACCAAGGGGTTAAAAAACTAAGATATTTGATTAAATTATGAATAAGTTTTACAAATTCCTTTCAGAGTTTTCTAAGATCACTTAAATAACAGCTTTCTTATTCAATGAAAAAGATACTTTGTGATTTTTTTATTTGTACTTGTAGAACCTGTTACCATTAAACAGAAACAGTGGAAACTCCTAAGAGGAGGCTGTAAGTTTGTGTTGGCTGAGGAGTTCTGTTCGGTTTGATTTGTTTTGCTTTATTGTGTTCTACTGGCATGAGTAAGAGTGTTACTTGACAGTCCTTTCCTCAGAGTAACAACATAGCTTTGTGTAGTCAGGCTTTTTTTAATATTAATAAATGAAGGTAACAAAATATTTCAATAACTTAAGTCCCCCAATTTCAGCTATAACGAGATTAGCCTGTTCCTTGCTCCTAAAATAAGAATTGTTTCAATTACTTTTATCTATTTTTTTAGTCAAATGGTAATCATGTCACTGTCTCCTGTGAGTCGGTCCATTATTCATTTTATGGCAGAATATTCATTTTGATAAGGTAAAGAAATAATAAAGCAAGCTAGGTCCTTCAGGTTTGAAAGGTAGTTCTTAAATAGCATATTACCAACTAACCAATATTTAGGAAATTATTTTTATACTTTGTGTATTAAAACTTCTTTTCCATTACACTGACATGCATTATTTTGTTGATCAAGAATTGTGTTTTCATTGGGAGGTTTAACATTAAAGCAATTTGTTGAAATGTCAGTATCTTTTCTCATAATTTTATAATTGTAGTGTAAGATAGCTTATATGTTAAACTTCCACTTTTATGCATTGTTTTTTAAAATATTAATTCAAGGGGTACTGAGGGTTTATAAAACCCTTTTCACTGTCACATGAAAAACACTAGCAAATATAAACTATAGTGTTGTATATGCTTGGGGGTTAGAGATTTTGTGGGGGTGTCTTTATAGGTGAGGATTCGTGTACATATTTTCTGCTTTTTTATGGGAGATTTTGGTGTTGGTATTAAGAAAATGTTCTTTTCAAATGTGTTTGACATTTTGACATGAATGCTAACTTTGATATGTAGCCATCCTTTCAAAGCAATGGGTAGCTGTTTGTAAATGTTATGTAATTAAGTTTTTTGGTCATCAAAGCTAGTAACCACTTCTCACTCTAAATATGCACTGTCTGTGATATTACTCTGGTTTTAACCCTGTCAAGCATGGAATTTAACATCTTAGCTTTTTTGTTGTTGTTCTGGGAGGTTGACTCCAGGGAGCACTAGGATATATCCCCGTCTCCAGTCCTTTAGGACTGGAAGGTTGGGGGCAGTTCTTTGTTGTTAATCTTGAGACAGTGTCTCATTAAATTGCCCTGTCTGACTTCAAAATTTAGATCCTCCAACCTTAACTATTCTTGTTAAAATATTATGTTCAGATTTAAAGAACCTAAAAATTATGTAAGAGCTCTCAATTTAAACCCAAGATCTGAGATTTTAAAACGCAACATGATCTTTTTCATTCCTGATAAAAATGTTAAGTAAAATATAAAAGTTTTTTCATAAATTATGTGCTATTTACATGGTGCTTTTTGACATGTAGAGTAAGTCTAGGAGCTAATATTAAATCATTAAGAACAGAGGTGTTTTGGAAGTATTTAAGTATGTCTAATCAAATGGATTAGGGTAAGATTTAAGACAGAAAGAAAAGAAGCCACCACAAGAAGTAATTTCATTTTCAAAGCAGGGAAATTAAGGGCTTGAAGGAAACCTTAGAAACTTAAAAAAACTGGTATTTTAAATTTTGTTCTAGAACCAAGTTTAACATGATGATTCTGAAGCGCTGGGACCTAGAAATCTTGATTTCTTCATTTCAGTTTCATTTCCCCACAATATGAGAACATAATGATTCAGATGAGATAAACTAGAATTATTCAAAACTTTTATTTAGGTAGTAAGAAAAAAGCTTATATATCATGGCTTTTCCAATAGAAAAACACCTTGTGAACATGTATAGTTTTTAAATTCATAGTAATTCTCAAGCACAATAGGTTGCTTAATAACCTGTGTTACTATATAACATAGTCCTATAGAAGAAAATAAAACAATGACTTTACCTCATTTTGAATAGAATATACTCAAATGATAAATAAGTTTTATGTTCTCATTTACTTTTAGGATTACTGTTACATTAACATTTTGGGAAATACTGCTTTTAAAATAGTCGTAAGAAAAATAAATTCATTTCCTGGATAATAGCTTTGTAAATATTTCCAAGATATAACTACTAAAACAAAAAACTAATATCACCCTTTCTTATCAGTTGAACTTTTTTAGAATTCCATTTATTAAAATCATTTTATTATTTAATTAGGTAACTATTTTATAAGTTAAGTGAGGCAGTTTGCTAACAAACAGTATGTAGCATTATTCCTTTGGAATCTCTTTTGCTTTCTGTAACTTGCTGTGTGATTGTATACAACCAATTTAACATACGTAATTCAGTTTTACTATTTTCAAAAAGTAAATACTTGGATTAGAGAAGAATCAGTGGTTTGACATTTAAAAATTGAAACTGGGAAGAAGGCTTGCAGGTTAGGTCTCTTTAATTAAAAAGTCTTATAATTGGATATGAGTTTTAAAAGATTAAAAGTTTTAGAAAAATTGCTCTGTTTTTTAAAACATTCCTGTTCAATGTGCTGAAATGTAAAAGAAAACTTGTCACAAAGTACTGACTAAGAAGTTATTATTACTGTCTGTTAAAAAGAAGTATTCTAAGAGCTTCATAGAAAGATCTAGAAAAACTAAAACTCTGATACTCTATAGAGGAAGAGATACTGTTCACATCATTGGTGGTTTTGTTCTACATGTTTTTGTTTTTGTTTTTGTTTTTTCTAGTAATGAGGGTTGAACCCAAGGCTTTCTATTTTTTTGTGTTTTTTTGGTACCAGGAATTGACCTTATTAGGTCCTTGTGCTTGCCAGGCAGGTGCTTGTGCCACTGAGCTATATCCCTGGCCCGAACCCAGGGATATAGGGTTTTTGTACTGGGCTACAGCTTTTTATTGTTTATTTATTTTTAAAAAGAGGAAAAGGTTTATTTTGGCTCACAGTTCCAAAGGGTTGCTTTTTTTTTTCCCTTCCCTGAGTCTTGCTAAATGGCCCGTGCTGGCAGGATCCTCCCTGCGTAGCTTCCCAGAGTGCTGGGCCTACAGGTGCACACCATCCTGATTGGCTTTCTTTAATATTTTTGAGTAAACAAGTCTACAAATGATAAAATACCTTTTTTCTGGGTTCTCTTCTTATTTTCTACATTTTGCAAAAACAATGCAAAAATTATCTTGGGAAGACAGGGCAGAATTCCTGATTTAAGTTTGAGAACCTAACAGTTAAGCAAAACAATTTAGAAAAACAGTAAAGCTGCATCTAAAAATAATTAAAGACCAAAACATTGTCATCTTTTCTTGAATTTATTTTAATTTGACCTAAATGATTCTGCCACAAATTTCTTGGCAAGTGGTGGCTTAGAGTAATCAGAAACAAAAAGTTCTGGTCTGATTACCACAGGTTTGGGATGATTTCTTAAGGTATTACATCCTCCAGAGAATGTCATACACCTTCCATATAATCACACACAATGAAGAATTAGAAAAAATTGAAATGATAGGTTAAGCCATGAAATTAGTACTGTATGGATTTTCATTACATTTTGCTGAATAGCTGCTTCATACTTATTTCACATAACATTTTTTTTTTAATATACTACTCTGATGTACCTGAACAATAAAATGACAGGAAAGTCACTCACTTAGGTTTGGGAGTGACTAAACATTGAAGATTCCTTTTCTGTTCCATACAAATTTAAGATATTATTTCAAATTAATAATGGGCAGATCTCTTAAAAACAATTAGATGCATTCTCTCTCCCAAATCAAGTTATACTATATACCTTTCATGTTAGATTGTTTCCAAACTTTTGTGGCCCCTGGTAAAATCAGTTGATTCAGCCTTTCCAATTAAGAGACATACCTACCTCCACTGAAAAAAGAAGTATTCTGTTGTATAAGCACTCCTAGAAAAATAGCCTCTTTTTAAGAAAATAGCATGAACAAAGCACATATTTCCATAATTACGAAGACCACTGTCAGTCTTTCATTTAGCATTTCACTGAGTATATATATCCCCCTGACACAGCTTACAGCATTAAAGGAAAGCTATAGAAATGATTTGTACTGACATTCAGTATTTTCAACTGGTAAATGTTTTATTTGCTTTCTGAAAAAACATGAAGTTAACTAAAAGATTCTAAATATTTGGCTGTAGAAAAGGGATAATGGAGAAGAAGCACACTGTTCAAATACAAGTATAGTAAACGGCACATTTTCCAAACTCTGAAAGTACTTGTACATATATTGCAAAGTGGTAGCAAAGAAAACGTGTTTTAAAATGCTTTTACTGAAACTAAGGTGATTATTTACAATGAAAATGAATCTGTATAATACACAAAGTTATTTCTGGTCCAAAAGACATTTTTTTACCCTCATATCTATTTTACTTCATCCTGTATGGATCATATTAACTTTATGAATACAAGTGATAAATAATTTTAAAGTATACTTAATTTTCTGTACTTTGACAAGTTACCAAAATCTGCTTGAACAAAGCAAACAATAAGCTACATTTCTGTTTTCACTATGAAGCTTGGATTGGTAAGGGTAATGAGGTTGAAAAGTTTTTATATACTGTATATATATTATCACCATATGTAATTAGTGGAATACTGTATCAATACAAACACTATATTGAAATTTGTTTAGATGCTGTTAGGTTTTATTTGCAATGTAAACTGTTTAGGATCCCTATACAGCATAGCCAAATTAAATTGAAAATATAAATTAATCCATAGCAGAAAAAAAACTTTCTTGCACTGTTACTCTTAACTATAAACTATATATTTGGTATGATGTGACTAGACATAAATTTTATAATATATTTGAGGGGTTTTTTAATTATTGCCAGATTCTGATAATGAAGAAATTCTCCAAGAAATGAGATACATAAAATCATCTTTAAAAAAACAATCTAGTTCTAAACTGTCCTTTTGCTTTCTATAAAGGCTTTGCCTTCCATAATTGACCATTTGATGAATATTTAAATTATTTAGACTAAACGCTTGCGTAGAATTAAGCGTGTGAAAGAGCCTTAAAGTGAAAAAATGACTTTTAAATGCCTTAAAATATGACTAGCTCTCTTCTATAGGCTACTAGTTACTTTCTTTGGTGTCTGTTTATTAAACAATGCCTTAATATAAGCGTCCCAGTGTTTTTGAAGTACAGAATTCAAAGGGTCTTTTAGAGCTTTTAGTTTTCCGTAATAAATGGAAATATAACTGTTAAGTTTTAAAACGTAATTGTACATTAGTAATTTAAACACATTACTAGGATAACATGGGTACAGTGATGTGTCATACATATGTGGCTATTAACATCAATAAAATGTTTAAGGTTTTTTATTGTATATAAGTACTTATCCAAGAAGCTAGGCTTTTGACCTCCAAGGACAAAGTTGCATATCTAACACTATGAATGAAAAATACAGTTGTACAGTTTTAAAAATGATTTAAGTTTTAAGGGAAATTTTGAGACAAAAGGCAAATAGTTTGTTTCAAGCCTACAAGCAAATTCAAAGAAATGAATATATAATATTAAAACATTAAGACTATTGCAATAAAAAGTATCCAGGTCAGCAGTTGGTTTAACTACATTCACATTTTTACATTCACTTTGGCTTTCAAAGCAGGAATATTTTATAAAACTGAAAGAACACTTTTAGTTATCAAGCTAGTGCTTAAAGTATATAAAGTATGACGCTTAAGTTGATTTCATTTCTAAGGAAAGGAATCTGAAAGGGGGTGAGGGAGGGGGGAGACAAGGAGTTTCTAGGATTGTTCATTACTGCTTTTGGCAAGTCTTCCAACTTTTCAATGTAAATAATACACCTATTTCTAGTTTAAAAAAAAAAAATACACCTAACAGTGGAATTTTGCTGTTTTCTGATTTGGAATGGATGAATATACTGATTATTACATTTATTTCAGATAAAAGTTTTCACCAATATTGTGCAGTCATGACTTTCTCCTTTGCAACTTTTCAAAATACCCTACTGAATGATTATCTGTTAGCTGAAATGCTTGGCATCAGAAGGGTTTTTCAGATTGTTGAACATCTGCAATACATAATGAGTTATCTGAGAGATGTTCCATATACACCTTGTAGACAATTTTATATAAAATTTTTAGTGCGCCTGCATTTTGATTGTGATCCATCACCTGAGGTCAGGTATGGAATTTCCCACTTGTGGCATCATGTTGACACTCAAAGTTTCCGTTTCTGCAGCATTTCAGATTTTGGAAATAGGGATGCTTAGCCTGTAAATCACTTCAGACATGGAGGTGAGCATGATGTGAACTGTTTTTGGTCAGTATATTGTAGAAATTGACAGGTGTACTAAATAAATTCTATGCACATCAAATTGTCTTTTTATTTATTTTAAATAAGAATTTTAAGGTTATGCCTTGTATGTAAGTAATCTTATAATTAAGGTAAAATTTTAGTAAGTTATACTGTCCTTTCAATGTTTCTAATTGCATATTAGTATTATTTAATTAAGGTATATGAAGTCGAGAGTTCTTCTCCATTTGAGTTCCATTACAGGATCAAGGCAATTGGATTTTAATCATGACGCCAATTCTTACTTAAGAGGTTTTAGTTTTGTTGTTTGGTTTGTAGTGATAGGGACGGAACCCAGGGCCTTATGCATCTAAGTGCTCTACAACTACACCCCAGCACCCTCTTCCCTTTTGAAACACCAAGTTACCCAGACTGGCCTTAAACTTGCAATTCTGACTCAGCCTCCAAAATAGCAGGGATTACAGGTATATGCTACTGTACCTAATGAAAACAGGAGAGTTGCTTTTGAGAAAAGCTAGGTTGCCAAAAACAGTGAACTAGGCAAATACAAATTTGGTTACAGTGCCAATTTGCAGAAACCTTTCCTGAAAAGTTTTAAGAGCTGAGGTGTAGGGCAATGCAGAAGGGTGAGAGCAAATCCCAACAGGGTATACACACCAAACCTCAAACATCTGGCTGATTTTACAGTTCTGTATTTAAAGATAAGATCAGTTGTAAAGAGAATGGAAGATTCCAAATTACACATTTCTGCATAAAGACAACTAGATTTAAACTGCTTCAGTTAGTCCGAAATCCTGACTAAAAAAATACTGCCCTGGGACTGTACTTCAGTGGTACAGCATTTCCCCAGTATGCTCACAGCTACAGCTTTGATCTCCACTACTGCAAAATGTATCTGTGTAATCTTAATTTTTATAACATGAGTAAACCCTGTAGCTTCTCAAGCTTTTGGATTACAGGTATTTTAACAAATTGTCTAGTAATAAAGTAAAAAAAAACCAAATGGCCAATTTTAGTATTACGGGGCTGTGGTTAAACAGTTTATCTTTCAGAGCTTAACATTAAAAATAAAATAGAGCCAGGTGTGGTGATGCACACCTGTAATATTAGTACTTCAGAAGCTGAGGCAGGAGGACGGTTCTGACGTTAAGGCCAGTCTAGACTGTATAGTGAGCTCAAGGCCAGCCTGAACTCCAAGAGCAAGACCCTGTCTCTAAAAAATAAAGGAATGGAAGGGAGGTGAGAGGTGGGTGGATTTAATCAACTTCTTAAATTGATCACCTTTTTGTAAGCTGTGGTTCTGGGGGGAAAAAAAACATTGGAACAATTTAGTTTTGCTTTGGGTTTATATTAAGTTTTAAGCAGTTGGATACAGACAGCAACACCAAGCCCAGAACCTCCCCCTTCCTGCTGAAACCTTTGTGAGATGAAGAATTTGTCCTACCCAGATGTATCCATAAGAAACCAAATGTAATTCTCAGATATTGTGATTTAATAGTAGCCATTACATACTGAGTATATATTAAACCTCATTCTAGGTGATTTGCAACTTTCCGTTCATTAAAATAACCCTAAAGGAAGATAGCATTATCTATATTTTATAAGAGATTTCAGGAAGTTTAAGTCAACCTACTTGCTAGTCATACCTTTAATGATCTGACCACTTCTCTGTCTTGCTCTAATAGCTGTAAATCAAAGTACCAGTTAGGATTTTCACAGTTAGTGATGTTATGTTGTGGTCTGTGATATAAATCTCTTTCTTAACCACCAGCTTTGTAACTGCCCCCTTGCAAAACAGTTAAAGCTCTGGGTCTTCAAGTATTAAGCATTTTAAGTACTTTGGAGTGGTGGTGAGGCCATTTTGTTGCTATTTTGGGGATTGTTCAAAGACATTAATCTACCATATAGCAAAAAAAGGGGAGGTCAGATTTCTTCATTTCTTTCATACCTTAGCATTTAATTAAGAGTCCTGCTTTCCTAAATGCTTCTCTCTTGATGCAGTGAGACCCCTAAAAGTACCTTTTTATATTAGTCACTGATTATAAAGTTCAGAAGACTATCAAGTAGACATTAGAAGAAGTTATTTCTTTTTTTTTTAGGGGTGGGGGGGGTTGGTTTTTTTTCCAGTACTGGGAATCGAACTCACAACCTTGCACTTGCCAGGCAGGCACTGTGCCGCTGAGCTAAATCCCCAGCCCCATTTCTTTTCTAAATAAAACTATAAGTGATAATGTGATAACCTATTATCTTTGATAGTCTTTAAGGCTTCTCTCCTTAATATTGAATTACTTCAAGATCTGAACATAATCAAGAACCATCACCCTGACCCCACAGTTCTCTACCAGTCTAAATGAGTTGATAAAAGGTGTTTCCTTCATGCTGTGTGCTATCAAAACCTGCCCTATGTTTCTAGTAACCTCCCTTTAATATCTAAATATCAAATATAGCCAGGTATGGTGGCATATGCCTGTAACCCAGCACTTGGGAGCCTGAGGCAGGAGGATGGCCACAGATTTGAGGCCAACCTGGGCGACACAGTGAGTTTAAGGCCAGCCTGAACTACAGAGTAAGACCCCATCTCAAAAAAAAAAAAAAATATGCCAGGCATGATCATGCACACCTACAATCCCAGCACTTGGGAGGCTAAGGCAAGAGGACTGCCACAAGTTCAAAGCCTGCCTGAACTACATGGCAAGACCCTGTCTCAAAAAACCAAATAAATAAACACAATTAATGATGGTATATAATTACAATTTTATCTTTCTCATGGGTAACAGATTTCCTCCAACAAAGATTTTACAACACAGCAAGCATGTAAAAATTTTCATGACACAGGACTAAGATAGTCCATTTTCTGTTTCATTCAAATGTTATAACAAATGAATCACCACATGCAAAATATATAGTATAAACTCTTGCATTATCGAGGATTCTTAATGACAGTTTAAACCTATCTGTCCCAAATTCCCTGATCTTGACCAGAAACAAAAGCATTCACTCTGGAAATCCATTTTCCTCCCACCTTTGAGGAAGTTTTCTTAGCACCTGGTAATCTGCCCCACATTTGACTGACAATGAAATAGGAAAGTAATTTGTGTAGTAAACCCTTAAAAAATTATTGATAAGAAGCCAGAAAACTGACTTTAAAAAGCAATGAAAATATTTCAATTATTCTAAAATAAGGCTTCCCATAGAATAAATCGTTTGCTAAGTAGAACTGAAATGAAATCAGTTTAGTGTTTCCAGAATAGCAGAATATTAACAGTAGAAATGACTTCAGCAACTTGGTCCGTTTTGTGTTACTGTAACCGAACACCTGATACTAAGTAATTAGTATCAACAGATTTACTTCTCACAGCTCTGGAGGCCCAGAAGGCCAAGATCAAGGGGCACACTTTAGGCCACGCCCTTCTTGCTGCACCATCCCACTGCAGTAGGTGAAGAACAATACAGCTCATGCACTTGAAAGAGAAAAGGGAACCAAACTCATCCTTTTATCAGGACGCTACTCCCTTGATAACAGCATTAAGCATCTACCCTCATGACCTAGACACCCTTTAAAGGTCCCACCTCTCAACCCTGCTACATCAAGGATTAGTTCCCAATGTAAGAATTTTAAGGGGGCCCATCCAACCAAAGTAGAAACATTCCATCTAAGGTTCCATCCAGTAGCTGGTTTCCCTAGGAACATTTCAAACAGTAATACAACACATTCTGGAAAGCAAAAACTCTCCTCAGTGTCATTCAAGTACATTTCTAACTTGTATCTGCACATAATAGTTCATCCTCATAACATGCTGAAAGTCTTCCTTTTAATTTCCACCCATACGTACATTTGTGTCCCCTGGAACTATTAAATCATTAAACAAGTGATCTGGTTTCACTGAGATAAATTCCATTCTACAAATTTATTTCTAGAAATACAAAGAATGTGAATGCTTTTCACAATATAATAGGAGATGTCTCTACCTAGTTCACAACTGTAGCAATGATCCTTAAATTTTAGAGAAAATCATACATTACTAATCCTTATGATTGGAAGCAATAAGGAATTAATTCCTAAATACTATAGAGATTCAAGAACTTGAAATGCTTATCTCCTTGTAAAATTCATACATAAATTCCAGTTAAACACATTCTTACCTCATTTTTCCATTCAACACCACCAACACTATCTCTTATGCTCAAGAATTGGCAAGTAGAAAGATGAGGTTTCCACAGCAATTTGTTGTTCATTATTTTTAATTGTCATGAAGATAATTCACATATTTAAGTCAGCATCATTTAAAAGACATTATCAGGTATCATCACTTTAACTGACATTTACCAGTTATAGTCCGAACCTAAGTCACTGGAATTCTTTCCTCTCACTTTTTTTTAAGTAACACTGATGAACTAGTGGAAGCAGTTTGCCTTCTTTGTGAAGCTTGTGAGTGTCGGTAGCACCTCCAATAAAAGTTCCATTGACAAATATGCTTGGAACCTGTTAGATAAACAAGATAAATTAGGCCTATCCTTAGTATAAGAAGTAGAAAATCATTTTAGATAACAGGCTTTCACACTGAGTACTATTTTTAGAGGAAAAAGGAAGAGTAACTTCCCCAAGATACAATAATAAGAAATTGCAGAGCTAAGACTCAAATCCAAGACAATCTGATTCTAAGGCCTTTCCCACTTATCACTGGTATATACTATGTAACAGCTTGTGTCTACATGTCCCCACACAGCCTCCTTCATTCACAGATGGGGCGTTTTCAGAGGTGGCTGGAACTACAGTGTGTGACTGGAATTGATTCCTGGTGCAATGCAAGGCTCAAGGGCGCTAGGATTAAGGATATGAGTGCTACCCACCCTAAGTAGTCTGGATAAGATAAAAGGGGCAGGAAAATGCTGCTAAGGTCCCTTGCTGCTTTTGCTGTCTTCTGCCTGCCATGAACTGTTCTCCATGAAGCCTTGGAGCCAGGCAATTATGGACTGAAACCTCTACAAACTGAACTAAATAAACCTGCCCCCCTTTAACTTTGGGTGCTGGGTATTTTGTCCCAGCAACTAAGTAACTAAGACATACTGTAAAAGATAAAGCAGTCTCTAGTTAATGTTTAAGTAAATCTTACGTATGTTTACTAACGAAGAGTACACTACATACGTATACAGACAAGAAACGGCAACACTATTTTTCTGCTTATGTATATTAAGGAAAAACCTATAAACTTCAAGACTAAAATACGGAGCAACAGCAACTTACACAGCTTAAAATCCTACTGGATGTAAAAGACCAGATAAACACCAACACAATTACTGTGTAGCAGGAAACCTCAATACCCTACTGTCACAAATAGATCAATTACACAATAAATAAATACCAGAGATGAATCAAACTTTCAAACAAATGGACTTAATAGAAATCTGAGTACTCCACCAAACAACAGAATACGCATTCTTCTCAGTAGCACATGGAGCTTTCTCCAAAACAGATCACGTGCTAGCTCTCAAAGCACACTTAAGTAAATGCAAAACAATCGAAATTATCCCACGCATATCAATGAATAAATTGGCAAAAGAAACCACAAAAATTATGCATATAGATAGAAAATACACTTTGGAATAATAAATTGGTCACAGAAAAAATCAAGAAAGAGCCTGGTGTGGTGGCACACACCTGTAATCCCAGCACTTGGGAAGCTGAGGCAGGAGGATTGCCTTGAGTTCAAAGCTAGCCAGGGCTCTGTAGTGGGTTCAGGACCAGCATGAACTGCACAATGAGATCCAGACAGTTCCTAAAATCACATAATAATGCCAGCACAACATATCAGAACCTAGGAGACACAATGAAAGCAAGCCTAAGAGAGAAGTTCAGAGCTGTGCATCAGAAAAACAAAGTGAATCCAAATAACCCAGTAATGTGCTTCAATGTCCTAGAAAAACAAGAACAAAACCAAAGCTGGTACAAGGAAGGAAAGTATAAAGATCAGAAATTTAAAAAATTAAGGCTAAAAAGAAAAAGAATTGATGAGCTGAAGAGCTGTTTCTTTCAAGAATAAACAGAGAAGCTCTTAGCCAATCTTACCAAAAACAGTAAAGAAAAAACCCAAATCAATGCAATCAGAAATGAAAAAGGTAAAATCACACTGGGCACTGCCAATATCCAATTATTAGTAACTACTTCAAAAAACTATACTCCAATAATCTGGAAAGTTCAGAAAAAATGGGTAGATTCCAAGATACATATGAATTACCAAAACTGAACCAAGAAGATATAAAAAACTGTAAAACCCAATAACAGGGAATAAAACTAATGCAATAATAAACCTAACAACTAAGTGCATTACTGGGTTATTTGGATTCACTTTGTTTTTTAAAGACCAGGTCTGGATGGACTCACTGCTAAATTCTGTAAGAACTTCATGGAAGAGCTATCATCAATAGTCTTCAAACCCTTTAATGAAATTGAGAGGCAAGGAGTACTTCCAAAGCTATTCCTGGAGTTAAACCACCCAAGGATCCAAGCAAAAAACAGAGCTACAGCCCATCTCTTTAAAGAACATAGATGCAAAATGCATCTTTAAAGAACACAGATGCAGTATCTTCAACAAGATACTGGCAAACAAAATGGAATAAATCATCAAAAACATCATACAGTATGACCAAGTAGGCTTCATCCCAGGAATGCAAGGATAGTTCAACATACGCAAATCAATAAATATATCACATAAACAGAATCAAGGACCAAAAAAAAAAAGAAAAAAAAATCCCATGATCATCTCAATAGGCACAGAAAAGGCCTTTGACAAAATCCAACATCCAGTCATGATTAAAAAAAAAAAACCTGAAGAAAAAGGGAATAGAAGGACCTTAATGAATCTGACGGAAGCCATTTATGACAAACCAATAGCTAACAGCGTACTAAATGGGGGAAAAACTGAAAGTATTCCTCTAAAATCAAGAACAAGATAAGGATGCCCACTATCACCACTTCTGTTCAATGTACTACTCAAAACACTAGCAGGAATAATTAGGAAAGAGAAAGAAATAAAAGGGATATATCAAGGAAAGGAGAAGTCAAATTATTATTTTCAGATGACATGAAAATTTCAGACCCAGAAAATTCCATCAGAAATCTCCTAGAATTAATAACCAAATTCAGCAACACACAAAAGTCAAAAGCATTCCTGTACACCTTAATGAACTTACCAAGAAAGAAGTTAGAAAAGCAATAGCATTCACAATAGCATCAAGAAAAATTAAATACTAGGAATGAAGGAAGTGAAAGACCCCTACAACAAAAACAACAGCACTCTGAAAAAAAGATCAAAGAGGACATCAAAAACTGGAAAGATACCCTGTTCCTGGATAAACAGAGCAAATATAGTCAAAATGGACATACTTCCAAAACTGGTATGTGTACTTAATTCAATCTTAATAAAAATACAAAAAGCATTCCTTGAAGAAGTGGTACAAACAATCCTACAACTCTTATGGAAACAAAAGAATGACTCAGAATAGCAAAAACAACCCTAGGTACTGAGCAAAGCAGGTGGCATCAGAATCCCAGATTTCAAGGTATACTACAAAGCTACAGTGATAACAGCAGCATGGTACTGACATAAAAAGACATGTGGATCAATGGAACAAAAGAGAGGATGCAGAAACAATTCCAGGCACCTTCAACTATCTGATCTTTGACAAAGGGGCCATAAACATGTACTAGTGGAGAAATACACTCTTTAATAAATGGCACTGGGAAAACTGGCTACCCATAGGCAGAATATTGACTCTAGACCCCTATCTCTCACCAGCTACTAAACTAAAATCAAAATAGATCAAGAGATCTACATTTTAAAATGAAAGCAATCTGCTAGAAGGTAAAATAGGTAAAACTCATGAAGACACAGGTGTAGGCATGGAATTCCTGAGCAGAACTCCAATTATGCAAATAACATCAAGAGTCAAAGAGAATCATAGCAAATTAAAATGCTGCACAGCAAAAACAAAAACAAAAACAAAACCACCAGATAGGTAACAACCAATAGAATAAGAAAAATTTTTGCCAGCTATTCCTCCAAGGAGTCATATTTAGAATATATTAAAAAACTCAAAACAACTAGATTCTCCCCCAAAATAAAAGCCTCAGCCAGGTGTGGTGGTGCATGCCTGTAATTCTAGCACTCAGGAGGCTGAGGCAAGAGGATCGATGCACGTTCAAGACCAGCCTGCACTACAAAGTGAGTTCAAGGCCAGTCTGACTACAG